TGTCTGCTGCCAAGGATGGTAGAGAAGGAACTGAGACACTGCACCATTCGGGCACCTAATAGACCCCACTGGCACGAGGAGACACTACTGCACATGCTCGGCGAGGCAGGGCACTGCTAGAAAAAATCTCCAGTCACCTGAATAAGGACTCACCAGCACCCGAAGTGAACCCAGGATGACATTCTGTTAGGGCTTCACTTGACCATCAACTGCACAGCCAGCTATTTCCTCAGGCTAACATTCAGAGAGACTCTCCTCCTGGTCACAGTCAGACTAGCTAGCCGCAGACAGCTGCCCAGAGTCAGCCCCCCTCCCCACTTCCTAAATTAATAAGTTCCTCACCCTGTGCATAACGATGGCTCTTCGAGATGTGTGTCCCTGTGGATACTCCACTCAGGTCTCCGTGCGTCCTTGTACCACTGATCGGAGGTTTTTGGTTCCGGGAATGGCTTCCCCCCAGGAAGGTGAGGGCATGGGGGGTCCAGCAGCAGCTGGTAGTCCCCAAAGGTATCGCCACAAGCTGCTGTATTTGGCCCACGACGTCCCCTTTGCGGGCCACCGGGGGATCCGGAGCACCCGGCTGAGGCTGCTCCAGCACTTCTATTGGCCGGGAATCTTTACAGCCGTGCAGCGGTACTGCCGGTCCTGTGACTCCTGTCACAGGGGTGGGAAGGCCCAAGACAGGAGGAAAGCTGCTTGGGGGCCCCTACCCCATATATAGGAGCCTCTGGGCTTGCTGAGAGAGTTATGGGAGGGGAAGACCTCCCTGGATGGAGCGTCGGGGATGGAAGCCGCCCTGGCTGTCCAGAGAAGGCTCGCTGGGCTCATGGCCCCGGCCTGAGAGACCCTGGCCAGAGATCAAGGCCAGCGGAAGGGTGGGTGTGACCCCCGAGGACAGGCCTGTGCCAGTCGCCCTGGAGCGGGGCGGCGAGTGGACAGAGGGAAGCCAGCTCATGTGGGGCTTCGCCACGGCTGGCCTGAGTCAAGGGGAGCACCCATGTCCCCGGGGCGGGTTCCCACGCAGAGGACCCGAACTTCCCTAGGTCACGAGCGGAGTGACCCTGCTCAGTTCGCTCTCGGAGGGGGGAGAACTGTGACGTAGTGGGGGTACCTGGCTGGTTTCTATGCTGCTGGCTCTGGGGGACCCCCCACTGGCTGCCACTGGCTGTCGGTACCACGGCCCAGCAAAACAGGATGAGTCACTATGCAAAGAGGGTCTCTCAACCTGTCTGACCAGCTACCCCCCAGGGAGAGAAACAAAGGAAGGGGGATGCCGCCCCTGGCTGGGGGCAGAGCTGGAGGAGAGTTAGTTAGTTTCTGTCTCGGATCATGGAGGAAGCCGCCTAAGCAACAGGCTGGGGGGTTTAGAAGCCCAGACCCCCCCCCCCATATCAAGGGGGGCTGAGGCATCCTAGGCCTGTCCTGTAACCAGATGACATCTGTGCTGTGCTGTATCCTGGAGAAGCAATAAACTCCCTCTGTTCTACTGGCTGGTGGAGTCTGTTCGTGCCGCTATGGGGATGCAGGAGGCGGGGGAACCCCAACGCGTCGTCACAGATGGCTCTTCGAGATGTGTGTCCCTGTGGGTACTCCACTCAGGTCTCCGTGCATCCTTGCCCTGCTGATCGGAGGTTTTTGGTGAGCAGTGCCCCCTCACTGCATTGCGCGCCCTGTCTTGCACGGCTGCTGTTTGTTGTGTGCACGTGCAGCATAAGTCTCCCTCTTTTCCTTTTCTACCCGAAATCCATTAAAGGACTCTGAGCAGAGGAGAGGGCAGTGCAGTACCCACAAGGACACATCTCAGAGAACAATTGTTACTGCTCCAGGTGAGTAATGTCATCTCCATCGAGTGGTGTCCCTGTGGGTGCTACACCCAGGTGACTTAGTAGCAGTACCTGCCGGATGGACATTGGAGTCATCTGTGTAGATCAGGGCTACTCAAGTTTGGAAGCCCCAGGGGTCACAATGACACTACTCCCAGGACATGCCGAGGCCTGCAACTTAAGTGTGGTGGCATATAAATGCAAATATATATGCAAATATATGCAAATGGTTTTTCACATCGACAGGCATGAAAACAAAGATTAAGGCAAGACTACACAACACGCAGGCCCCTTTCACGTCAGTTCTGCTGATATTACTAAATTCAATAGTTACCCCATTTCCATCCCCATGACAGCACTTTTAATGGGAAATGCCAGTCTAGGAATTAAATACAAAACCACATCTCAACAGAAGACCATGACATTTATTACTTTTTTGTTTTGCCTCCCACACATGGGCTACCTGTTGAAGCCCACATAAACCCAATCGCACCGTGGGCCACAAACAAACAGGCCACGTGTTGAGTAGCCCTGGTGTAGAGGAAGGAAGGATCGCATCTGCCAGAGATGTGGCGGGTCTGGGTCCTTTCTGGAGGGTGTAATGTTGTGTGAGGTGCGATGGGAAGACCATGTAGCGGCTCTACAAATGTCCACCAACGCACATTACGTAGGAAGGCCAATGTTTTGGCCATCGCACGTGTGAAGTGAGCCCTGATAATCTCAGGTGGCCACTTCCCTCGAAGTTCATAAGCTGTGTGTATGCAGCTGGCAATCCATTTGGATATGCATTGTGCCGAGACGGCTGTTCCCCATGTGGCCCAGGCCAAGAGATGAAGAGTCTGTCCGACTTTCTGACCTCTTTGGTCCTGTCTAAGTAGAACACGATGGCTCGTCTTGCATCCAATGTTGCGGCTTTTCTTGTTGTTTTCAAGTAAACATTGAAAACTGTCGCGAACTCACAAAAACTGTAAACTATCATTAAACTGACAGGCTGTTTGTTTGTTTCCTGTCAGAAAAGGAGAGCACTGCTCTGACTCCGTCTTCAGCTGAGGACAGTAGAAAGCAACTGACGGAGGCTAGTGACGCACACGCACCCAACAAACGGCAGCAGCGCAAGACATGGGGTGCACAGGCGCAGCACGAAGGGCACTGCTGAGCAAAAATCTCTGATCAGAAGCATGAGGACGCACCGAGACCTGAGTAGAGCACCCACAGGAACAGCACTCGATGGAGAGCTCCCTGTTAGTTACAGGTAACAGAAGAGTTACACTCCTACGTGTTTTGGGGCTGGGTTAAGACATCAGTCTGATCAAACATATCTGCCATGTCATAATCAAACCACGTACCAACATAGCTAAACACTGAACTTCCAAGAGGCGACGGTCTCTGCTCTTCTTCCCATTTCTTAATCTAGAGGTTAGTTCTCTCCTCAGTTCATCAGATTCCCTCCTCTGCTGCTTGCACCGACCTCTCCAAGTCAGCGTTCCTTTCTTTAGCCTTTTGTCCTCGGCCAACAGCTTCTTTCTCTCTTTCAGCAGCGTTTCGATCCATTTTCACCATCCTTTCTGCAGCTTCTCTGTCTGCCTTAGCCACTCTCTGCTCGTTTAGCAGATGAAACTCTTCACATTCTCATACTTAAGTTGCAGTTTCCTCACTGCACTCTCCCTGGACTCTCATTTCTTCTGCAGCATCCCTGGCCACTAACAGAGATCTCAGCTCTCGATTAGAAGCTTTCTTCCTGAAGGGGATTCCTTTTTTAGAGCACACGATTTCCAAGGCTTGTTTGCAAAGACCCTCATATCGTGACTCAGTGCAGTGGCTCTTTTACCAACCCAACTCTCAATCCCCAAATCAGATTTGGAATAGCGCGGGGTCCTGATCCAAAGCTCAACCGACGCGGTTCTGCGGCTCAAATGACTATGCCACTGTAATGGAAAAAGGTGGTCTGGGGCACCGCTGTCAACATCAAATCAAGACGACTGCTTAGAACCAGGACTACTTACAGCCCAAAACTGGGTTCTCCTCTACAAGGCACCAAACCAGTCACACACAGCACTTCAGCTGCCACTCTGGCCAGCAAGAAGTCTCATAAGTAACCCCCTAAGAGACCCCAGCTTTACCCGTACCACAACCAGCACTGCTCCTTACACCGGTGAGAGGTTATAAAACCAGGCTCACCAACTCCAGACAGGTTCTCCTGGTTCCAAAGGACCAGCCACAGCCCCAGGCCAATTTGTACCTCAGCTCTTACCCCAAAGAGCATGCAGCACCCGTCCTTTGGAATCTCAAATCTAAAGGGGTATTAATAAAAGAAAGAAAAGGCAGAGAAGGATTGTTAAGGCGAATACATTACACACATCAATCCCCAAGTTCTTGATGAAGCTTTTAGCAGATGCAACAAACTGCCAGCTTTAAAATCCCTGGAGCACATCCTATGTCAGGAGGGGTCAATGAATCCTTCTGGGCTCTGTCTTTAGCAAAGGTGCTTCTGGAGAGGAGGGCAGGAGTGAAGACCAAGATGGAGGAATCCCCAGGATCCTTTTATACTCTTGCCCATGCAGAGGGAAATCCATCGTTCTCCTGAGTGATGGTGCCTCCCAAAATGGAGCTGATCACATGATCAACTAACCTGCCCATGTCCTTTACGCCAGCATCCATGGAGAACCTGCAGGTCTGTAGGGTCACAACTGAATTCCACAGGTGTAACACTTGAGAGCCGTTGTCCATGCAGCAGAGCTAGTCACTGGGGAACCACCCCTCCCAATAGATGGTCGACACCTGCTGCTGTCTCCCAGACAGAAAACATGTAAACTACAAGCACAGAGCCCGTATGCATATAAAAAATTTTACATATAAAAATCACACGTGTTCATGAGCAGCACAAACAGAATCCGCATGGCATTGGCTTTCATTAGACACCTCACCTGACCCTCTTTGCACTACATTTGGGGCAAACACACACCAGTGGGTGCAACAATGATCTGCATTTTCCTATTAAAATCCGATAACGTGAGACTCAAGCACATACTCGCATACACACACACACACACGCGCGCGCGCACACACACACACAGACACACACACACACACACACACAGACACACACACATAGACGCGCACACACAGACGCGCACACACACAGACGCACACACTTTAGCTTCCCAGGTTGGGGCTCACCATGAAGATGAAATCCAGGCTCTTGGACCCGTTCCCCAGGGCCTTCCTCGCCAGGACATAGTCCACGTGGAGCCGCTGGGCCTGGTCGCAGGGCAGCTCCCCGCCCAGCCTGCGGATCTTCAGGAAACTCCGGCTCCGGGAGTAGAAGGACTCCACACGGTGATGGGCATCCGGGTAACTGGGAGAGACTTTGTCACGCTCCACGCTGGGACCTGCCTCTTTGAAGTGCCCCTGGGGACAGAGAGCGAGGGGGCATGCTAGGTGACAGCACAGGACAGGACAGAACATTGTGCAGGGCCACCTCTGATGCTGCTGGTTGAGCTCAGCCCCTCACCCTGCATCTGTAACAGGGGCCTAGATGACCCTAGCGGTTGGAATGGGGCAGCCCTGAGCCTTGGAACCCCAGGCTGGGGATCTTTGGTGGGTGCGGGTGCCCAGAGCAGCTGGAAGGGGGCGACCTTCCTAACTAAACCGCACCCCACATGGTCCTGAGAAGAGAAGTGGCAGCACTAGGATGCCTTTTGCACCACCCCTCTGATGGCTTTGCTGCTGGGTCCTGCCCCTTCCCCACACACCTCTGTCTTGGCTCTTCAGCCTGCAGGCTCTCTGGGCGGGGTGGCTTATACTCTGGATGTGTGCAGCACCTAGCACCTCAGGGCCCAATCCTGGCTCTCCTTAGGCACTCCCATAATAAATGCCATGCACCACAGAAGCAATAACAGATGCTGCAGGGCAGGATCCCCACTGGGCTCAGAGGCCCATTGTTTACCCGCAGAGCGACTGGCCCGGTCCAGCCGGAGGTGTCCAGCGCGAAGGAGGCTCTGCCAGACTCATCCGTCAGGAAGGTCTGGTTCTCACTAATGTCTCCAGAGCTAACAAACAGCCGCAGAGTCTCATTCTTCAGTGCGGAGCCGTCTGCTGCCTTCAGGAGCATCTGAGCCAGGAGATAAAGGGAGAGACA